TGGTGCTCCCTGCCTAGCCACAGTGCTAGGTTCCCCACTTGCCTTTGGGCACCCTACCCACCTGACATTCCTGTCATGCCTTGTTCTTAATTAATTAAGATGTTAATTAAGGCAAGAGGCTGCCCATTCTTGCCCTGATGCCAGGGGGCACTATATATGCAGCTCCATACCTTCCCTACACCACAGCCCATGCCTAACAGCTGGATGCCATCTGCTAATCTCACCAGCCCCACACTGGGCCCCAAAATCCTTCAGTCAGGACCCCTCCAAGATCCCTCCATTCAGGCAGCCTACCCTGCCTTCATTCAGCTGTCTGGCTCCCTGAAACCATTTCTCCTCCTGGGACCTTTGGCCACACAGGCCCAGCTCTCACCTCCAAGGCCAGTCAGGACCCCAGGCCCTCAGCTCTGGGCATCCCTCAGAGTAGGCCCCTGGCCCTTTTGACTGTTCTGGTCCTGGCCCCAGCAATGACCAGTCGAGGGTATTCTACATCAGCCCTCTGCCACTAGCCCCTCCACTCTCTTGGGTCCGTCTGGCCCCTACTAGGGGTTACCCACCTGGTTGTGGGAGGTGGGGTAACTCACACTGCGACTGGTGTTCCAGGGTCTCACAGGGACTCTCACCACCCCCCCCCCCCGAGCAACATGTCATTGTGCTCTTTCTATATAAACATATTGGGCTCTCAGGCCTCTGGTTTTCCTCCTCCTTCACTGGGGTTCCTCATCTCTGCCCCCTCGCTTGGGGCTCCACACTGCACCTTCACTTGGGGCCACAGGGCTTCACTCAGGTGGCTGTAGCTATGCCTCACCCCAACTACCTTTCCTCAGCGTCTTACACCCCGCACAGAGCTCAGGTGGCTGCAGCTGTGCCTGGCCCCCCACTCTCCCTCCTTGGGGTCTCTCAGGGTCTTGCACCCCACAGGGCTCAGGTGGCTATAGCCATGACTGGCCCCCAACTACCTCCAACATTATGCAAACCCAGTCGAAGGTGAGGGCTAGGGTTAAGGTGCCCCTTCTTGCCTTTCACCTGGGTGATCACTGGCCTGGCATTTCCTGGGAGCTCCCGTGCCACTGAGAGCCCCACCAGGCCACCCACTCCCAGCAGGGTGCAGTTTTAGGTCATGCCCAGGACCAGGAATCTCCAAGCCATCTCCTACAGCTCCTGCCCTTACCTCCAGGATGTTATAAAGCCTTGTAGCCCAGCAATACTACTGCCTCGCTCACCAGTAGGGAACTGATCTGTTTATATAGGCATCCAGGGATCTAAAATGGCTGCCACAGTCAAGCACCTGCTGGCAGCTTGGTTCGGATCTTAAAGTGGCAGGCACCAACAGTATTCTGCCACACACCTCTCTGCCCTAAAATGGTACCTGGGGGAGGTTTCCCTTACTGCTCCTCCAAAGCAGGCTCCCCACAGAGCCTGTGAGAGCCCTCAAGTGGCGAGCACCCCCCAAAGGTTATCTGCCACATTGTCAATTGACCAAAGAAGTGGCACCAGCATACTGTTATCCCATCTTGTTTCTGCTGATCTTGTATACTAATATTAAGATGACTCCATTAAATTAAGAAATTGGTTTCTCCTACCCAAATGTAATGGCATAAACTCGTGTGTGTCCTTTCATTTCCCAAATGTTCACAAGTTGTTATAGCTGTTATTTCCACTTTGAGTCCATATAGTTTTGAGAGGTGCTTTTTCAGTTGTATATATATTTTTCTTATTGTGATGCATGTAGACATTTTACCACCTTTTATTATACTTAAGTATAATGAATGTTAAATAGCCATAGGTTGTTTAAAATCATTTGCAAAACGCCCAATGCATATATCCAAATTTTAAAAGCTATGCAAATAATTTGTACCCACTTTAACTGTGATTGTATCATTGTGGTGTTTATGAACGAGAATGCACATGGTTTATATATGATAACTTGTGTACAAGTAAGGCAATAGTATACTTGGTCGTAAGTGTGCCTGTACTTTTTGTGCATACGTTTGGTATTTTCAGACTGAAAAACCTGTAACTTAATAGTTATGTAGCTTTTTTTTTGAAGACTGTCAGATAATGGGAGAATTAATGTAAGTACCTATTACAAGTTTGCTAAATATGATAGGATCAGTAACTGTTTTTTTTTTCCTACAGCTGAGTTTCAAGCCTCATTTGTTTTCATAGAAAGTTATATATATAACATAAATTCTGTTGTGTTGTGCAGGAGGCCACTTACTTGGTAACTGCTACCACTCCTTTCAGCACCTTAATTCTCCTTTTGAGATGTTTCCTTTTCAAGATTTAAACTACCTTAGAGTTGATGAGATTGCAGCCCAAGATTCTTTGGTGGTTGTTATTCATTATCATTATAGCATTATGAAGAAAAACCTTGTATGAATATGAGAAGGCATAGAATGTATGCATGTATTTCATTTTACTGGCGCATTACTCAAGACAGCTCTAAAGAGATTCATTCCTGAAGACGTCAGCATATGTCAGCTGAATTGCAGCAGCATAGTGTTCAAGGGTAATAATCAGTTCTAATATCTGTGAGTCATAAGAAGGATGGAATTTGAAAGAGTGCTGACAAACTGTATCAGGTGAAAAATACAAGTAACTAGCTCATGTTCATGAACATTCCTCCCACCTACACCACCAACACCCTGCAAAACATGTGATCAGCTGCCGAATCACATTTTAGGGCATTGTTTTTAGAGTTTCTTTACAAATAAACAAGAATGCTAGTCTAAAATCTGGGCCTAATGGAGCCCAAATTTGCTGATGATCCCCATGGAATATTGCAAAGCCCATTTATATAGACAGGATAGTGTAAAGATGAATAAGTGGACTGGGTTTGTTGTTTCTAGTTCAAGGCTGATGGTAGATCTAAAGGAGGGAAATTCTATGCGACTCTAATGAATAAGGTATCCGTATAAGCTGCTCTACTTTTGCTAGGAAAGTTTTTTGTGTTTTGAAAAGTGTCTAATGCAGGGGTGGGCAATTATTTCCAGCGGAGGGCTGCTTACTGAGTTTTGGCAAGCTATCGAGGGCCACATGATAGGCAGCCCAAGGCAGATAAATATTAATTTTCCAAATTTTTTAGGGTCCCCGCGGGCTGGATAGAATGGCCTGGCGGGCTGCATCCAGCCCCCAGCCGCATTTTGCCCACCCCTGGTCTAATGTATATAGACTGCATAGTGTCCATCTATCATCTCTGTTTCCTTCACTTATAAAGTAGGTGAGAATGTATTCTGTAATCCTTGTTACAAGAGTTTGGGTTCATCAAGTACTGGCTGTCCCTTTGTGTGCATTAATTTATAAATGTTAAGATTAATTTAATAAATAAAAATTAGGATTTTTATATTTAAGTTATAGTTACTTAAACTGAAAATATGATGAAAGCCCTGATTTGAGGGACAGTGTTCTCAGGTTTATTATACTTGGTCAGAGTGAAAAATGATTGCGATTGCATGGAGCACATCTTAGCCTGAAGGGGGTCTGTCTTGTTAGCAAGAAGGAAAAAGTCATGGCTCCTTCAGTGTTTCCCACTTGAGGTTATGGGCAGAAGCTGAACAGAATTGATATTTATGAGAAGGAATCTCACCTGTGGAGGGCAGGGCGGATTGAATAACCCATTTCCTCTAGTCATGACCTGTCTTATTGGGTATTGGCAGAAACCAAACCCCATACCTATAATAGCAGAGTAAGATGGGTTTTGTGATCTGCTAAGGATGTAAATATTCCTCCCCTCTTTTCTTTGAGGCTGGGACACATCCCAACACACACACCCCTACCCTCCCCACACATACAATATACAAAAGTAAGACTTTTTTGAGAGATTATGCAATCACTTCTGTATATACTAATGCACACAGAAAAACATGTTTTTTTAAATAAAATATGTTATAGTAGATGTTTGATTTTTAGTATATGATTTGTTTTATCTATATTTTGTTAAAATGACTTCTTCTGAAAGATTTAGTGTATGGCCCTCAACCTGCTTGGTTTGACATCATTCTTGGGGAGGTCTGACACCCTGGAAACCCGCACTGATTGGTGGAGGGCAGTGGGGCAGGTTGTTAGAGGGGTCACAACCCCTCACTACCTGAAAGGTCATGCCTGTGCTTCATGGTCTAGAGCAGTATTCCCTCTAAGCTGCGCGGCCGCGCTTATGCCACGCTACCAGGTGTGCATGCACGGCTGCTCACGCCGTGCAACTTACAGAAAATGCTAGTCTAGAGGGCAGATATTTTGGGGCCCCAGGGGCAGACCACGCATCATGAGGGTAGGCCCTGTGGAGGGGCAACATTTTCCCAGTCAAGGGGTGGACTGCGTGATGGGAGCAAGGGTTTCTGGGACCAACATGACAGTGAGTGGGGTAAGGTTTGGTGTCAGGGTGGGTGGGCCTCCTATGTCATGGACTATGCGACAGGGCGGGACTTCCAGTTCCAAGACTGCAAACTCCTCTCCCAGAAGGAGTACTTCTGGGACAAAGGGAGGGACTTCCTCTGGCAAAAGGGGTTGGGGGCAAGACTTCCAGTCCCAAGATGGCAGTCGAGGGGTGGAGCAGCTATTAAGGGTCAGGGCGTAACCGTTTGACAAGGGGTGTATGCTTGTAGCCCTCAACAGCTCACCAGAACTTGTTAAGTAGCCCTTCAGCCAAAATAATTGCCCACCCCGATCTAAATCATTCCCCAAGCAATTGCTGAGTGGGGAAACTATAAGTTACATACTGTTTTCTGAATTTTCCTTATGCACCAGTTTTGAGTTATTTTTAATTTCACTTTTCATATTCTCCTACATGTCTATAAGTTCACTATCATATTTTAATGCTTCTTTTGCCATGCAAATGCATGAGGATTAACATTTTATGTATTTAATTTTACTGCTGTTTTGGAACTTGTTTGGAGTGAGTGTAGCGACAAGGTAATGAAATAAAATGTGTTTGCAATAACTTGTATAGATTGTAGTATTTATAGGATGCTCTAAGTTCAAATGGTGCTTTTTATTTTTAGCTGCAGGGTTTAAGCCACAATGTTATCTTCACTTTGGATTCTCTTTTGAAAGGAGACTTGAAAGGAGTTAAAGGGGTAAGTGTTCAGTCCTGGAAAGGAAACTCAGAGTTACCTGGGTGTTTGCTTAACTTTCCATGTCACCTAGGCTATGTTGTACCCCCTCATATTTGCTTGGAATGAAATTGAAGTGTGCATGAATAAAATTCCATACATGTCCACTAAAATTAATTATGAATGTATGTCTTAAGATATATGGGAAAGGAATACTTTAAAAGATTCAAAAGGAGAGACTTTAAAATGCTATTTGGTATGGTTTGAAAGAGATTTTTGAAATGCTGTTCATGACTTTGAAATTATATTAATTTTAAACATGTAATTAAAAATGTAAACATATTTCACGTGCATTTTCTGTTTCCTTAGGATCTTAAAAAGCCATTTGACAAAGCCTGGAAGGATTATGAGACCAAATTGTAAGCATTTCTCATTTGTTGTAATTCATGCAGATAAGCAAACTTTTTTATAACGTTAAAGGTTAGACATTTCATGTTTTAACTTTGATGATTAAGTTCTCCTGAAGATGTTTGCCATTTATCTTAGTTTTTGTAGATGAGTCGGAATTATTTAGCAGGTCCCTACTATGCCTAGATATTCAGTTTGATTCAGGAATGTCTAATTTACCATGGGTAAATCGGTAAACATGAAGGATTACAGAAGGGTGTTCTCTCAATACCATGCACATCGTGTTAAGCATATTTCCTCAGTGTTGACAGAAATTCACAATTTTAAGTGTTCCATAGAAGTTAAAGGGTATGCCTCTATTCTCTGGCATGAAGATGCCTTTGTTGCTCTTTAAGCACTGGATATCCCAATTTTAACTATTGTTTTGAAGTTGGAAGATGTATATTCACACTATCACCTATGCAAATGAGTCTAGTCATTACAGATGTCATAATTTTTTTGTGAACTTGTGGAACAAGTCTTAATGAGAGAAACATTTTTAAATAGTTAGCTTGTATTACTCCATAGTCATCAACAACTTGTAATGTTACAAAAAAGTTTGCCTAACTACAAAGGAGCAGTGATTTTGTTTTGATTTTTTTTTTATCAAAAGCGATGAACATTTGGAAACATAGTAAGAATTTTTTTTGTTTGAAACCATTCTTTTTTTATTTAAATTGATTGTAAAAATAATATTGATTATTTTGCAAACAGAACTCCACTTAAGCTTTCAGAAAACTCAGTCTGATAATTTCAAGTGCTGCAAAGCAGTGAGTGGTAGTGGCTTTATCATCTATCTCTGGGCACAAATCAGTCACATAAGCTTTTGATAATCTGATACAGTGTATTTAAGGAAGGACTTGAATTCTATACTGGCATTGTAGAGTGCTATATTCAAAATTCAGTGATTCCAACTGAGTGTGACTGTAGACAATGAAAGTCAATTATTTAACTTGATAGGAAAAAGTATTTTAAAATAATTTTGAATAAGTAATGGTGATTTTTATTGACAGCTTCTCTGTGAGAGAATTCATGTTTTAATATAAATGCATTTTAAGGAAGCATTGGAAACCTTATTTATTGTATCATGTTAAACTGTCTACTTTCTTGTTTACTCTGTTTATTATATTTATTTTGGGTCACTATATGTTGCTTATATATAAACAAGAATCAACCCTCAAAGAAAAGGTTGCAACTCTAGACACACCATTAAGTTATTGTGACCTATAAGTGATAAATACCTAATCTGGGCAATTAAGTAGTATGTTTCAATATCATAATGAGTATTAAATCATTATAGTCTAGTAAGTAAATACCTCCACTTCCAGAAGAAGTGAAGGATTAAAGTTCAGGTAAAAATGCCAAATTTGGTTCTGGTGTGTTTGGTCACATCTACATACTTCCGGTAGTTCTGCAGTCAGTGGTGGCTGTTTCTCAATGGATATTCTGAGTAGTTGTCTAGTCTGTATATTGTCAATGGAATAGTTGACTGTATATTAGGATTGCACGGTCAGTTCCTGTGATACCTGTGCTTAGGAATTTTTTGATACTGTACAATACAAACAGAACCCAGATTGCCAATCTGCTTTCAGATTGGATTTACAAGACTGACCAGAAGAATAACTTTCTTGTTGCAAAACTTTTTTTCCTATAATGTAAATAACTTTATGCATATTAACTCGGACAAAACAAGAACCTTATGTGAATTGATATTTTAAAGAAAAAACACAGTGTAAGTAATTTCCCCAAAGAAAAAATAAAGATTGGAACCAGAATTAGAACTGCGAAATGTTCTACTCTACTAACTAACACCCTACCTAGCTTAAAAAAAGGGAGAAAAAAGGAATATATCAAGTTATGTATATGCAAATAAAAATATAAGCATTTGCCACAATTTAAGGTCTAGGGTTTTTTTTGCAGAGGTAACTGAACAAATGGAAAGTGGTCCCTTATCACTGAAGTTCTGAACTTCAGAAAATAGAAAGCAAAATGTTCTTTGTTTTTGCAAGGCACCATCCCAATAAATACACAATGCTTTTCCAGACATATTTTAAAGGTTTCCAAAATACAGCTAATGTCATTTTTAAAAGTGCTAGGAGATGAGGAGGGAACAATTTGAGAAGAAACGCAGCGGAACATGGCTGTCCCAGGAGAAAACATGAGTGTACAAAGGTTTTCTCCCTGAGCAAAAATGGCTGCCTTAGGAGAAAAATAAGGATCTGGGTAGCATCATAGCTCAGCCCCTGGCACAGGTCTTTGAGAACTCCTGGTGCTCTGGTGAAGTGCCTAAAGATTGGAAGAAGGCCAATGTAGTGCCTATCTTCAAGAAAGGGAGGAAGGTGGATCTGGCAAATTACAGGCCCATCAGCCTGACCTCTATCCTGGGGAAGATCCTAGAAAAGATTATCAAAGATTTATTCAAAGATTATTCTTAACAGACTGGCTGATTATTCTTAACAGACTGGCTGACGGCAACATCCTGAGGGATAGCCTTGCGGGTAGGTCTTGCTTGACCAATCTCATTTCCTTTTATGACCAGGTGACCTATCACCTGGACAAGGGAGAAGAGACTGATGTCCTATATCTTGACTTTAAAAAAGCCTTCGATCTGGTATCCCATGATCACCACTTGGCAAAACTGGCTAACTGTGGCCTTGGCCCCACCACAATCCACTGGCTGGGGAATTGGCTCTGCGGTAGGACCCAGAGGGTGGTGGTTGATGGAAGACAGTCATTGTGGTGCTCTGTGACCAGTGGGGTTCCTCAAGGCTCTGTTCTGGGGCCTATACTCTTTAAGATCTTCATTAATGATATAGACATTGGTGTCAGAAGCGGACTGGCCAAGTTTGCTGACAGCACTAAACTCTGGGGTAAATCATCCACACCTGAGGACAGGAGGGTGATCCAGGCAGACCTTGACAGGCTCAGGAAATGGGCAGACAAGAACCTGATGGTGTTTAACACTGAAAAATGCAAGGTTCTCCACCTTGGGAGGAAAAACCTGCAGCATGCTTATAGACTCAGCAGTACTATGCTGGCTAGCACTACAGATGAAAGGGACTTGTGGGTCATGATTGACCACAAGATGAATATGAGCCTTCAATGTGATGCTGCGGCTAGTAAAGTGAGCAGAACACTGGCTTGCATCCATAGATGCTTCTCAAGCAAATCCCAGGACGTCATTCTCTCTTTGTACTTGGCCTTGGTGAGGCCGCAGCTGGAGTACTGCGTCCAGTTTTGGGCTCCACAATTCAAAAAGGATGTGGAGAAGCTTGAGAGAGTCCAGAGAAGAGCCACGTGCATGA